ATTTTTTATTTTTTATTTTTTATTTTTTATTTTTTATTTTTTTTTTTCCAGATGCTTGATATTTTGTTGTATAACGAATTAACATTTTACAAGTCCAAATATGTTTTAGGGCCACTGTATATGTTCACTGCAATGAAAATAAATAAATAAATAAATATATATATATATGACAGTTATATATATGTATGGTAATTAATGTAGCATGAACATACATTTAAAGACAAGAAAAAGTTATTTGAAAGATTTGGCGCAATAAATCTAAATATTTGATTCAGTGTTCTTTGTAGCCTCACATGTATTAAGTTTCAAATCACTAGCTGAGTCCTATTTTTGAATGCTCCCGACTGTATTTAATTGTGTTTTTCTTTGTTACTCAAAGGTAAATATAACCAACAAATGTAAGCAAAGCTGTCACTGATTCAAACTACAGTATAACTGAGTTTAATTCATGATATTCCAAATATTCTGCAGATATAAAGAATGATAAAAAGAGTCTGACTTTGCAGGTAAAGCAAAGCCTTGTTTTCAATATGACGTTCATTGGCATATTTAATCTTGCTGCAGCAATTAGTATTAAATATCATGTACTGTTGAGCACAAGAAAGAAATTCTGTGCCACTTCTGTGTGAATCAGTTCACACAACCACTGTCACAGTATTAAAGGTTTTCTATAAAACTGCTGACTTTGTACTTTTCTGCACACGTTAATAAAAAGGAGGACCCGTTTATGCAAATCTGTGCTTTTTACACACTTACCTCACGATTACAAAACATGAAACCCATTAGTTTCAGGTTCATTTTTGGGGGGGGGGGATGAGTTTGTGGCTGCTTATGAAGCAATTTTCATGCTTTCATGTACTTCCTTTTGTGTTGAATTTCAAACCTCTTGTTAGTGAGAGCAGAAGAAACGAGAAACATTCACTTCCCTCGTCTAAATCCTCAGCTATTTCTGGCACAGTTTGCAGCAGTCTTGGTTTTGTTGTATGTCTGGAGTCACAAGAGAACAGAACGACAGAATTAGTCACTTTTTAGCTGGAAAAATAAAATAAAACAAATCTCAGGGTTGCAAATAAAAATAAAACTCTAGCTCTAAGAAAAGCTCTAGAAGAAATATTACTGTGAGTGAGACATTGGACCAGATCTGATCCCTCATCTCACAGAGTTGCATGGTGTTGTATTTGCCTCAGTGTGATTTGAAAGTAAAATGAAGTAGACTAACATGAGACTGCTGCAGTTTTATTATCAGGCAAACACTGCTGTTCATTCACTTAAATCCTGACCACAAGCCATGGAATTTGACAGTGAAATCAGTGTTATGGCCTCTGGCAAACACAAAACAACACGCTTGTCTTTGTTTGGACCTTGTGCTGGCTTTCATTATGTTTGAACATTTTCTTTCCCATTCATTTAATTATACAAATACGATCTCCAGTTTCCAAATACATCCAATCTGCAAATCTATTTCCTAATACATCAATTTATTTGATCATGTAAAGTATATATTTTTCCTTCTCACATAATGATCACATGATAATGAGATAATCTTCAGTCTGATGTGGTAAAATGCAGTATGACTCTACAGTTAAATCATGTGCTAATACTGCCAGCCTGTGGTCAAAGATTGAAAGCACCTCATTTAAACCTGCTAAACATGACAGAGAGCTGCTGGTTTTATTCAGGCCTGTCCCTAACAGTATTTGCAATCAAAATAATGGTGAGATTAGTGTACTGCTGTGAGGTCAGCTAATGGTCATCAATTTTTGTATGACAATTGCATTAAATATCTATCTATCTATCTATCTATCCATCCATCCATCCATCCAT